AGAGAGAGAGAGAGAGAGAAGCACGCAGAGAGCGCGCGAAAGCGAAAGCTAGGGAGGAAGAGAGTCCGGGCGCGAGAGCGAGAGAAGAGAGCGCGCGGGCGACAGAGAAAGCGAAAGCGAGGCTATGACCTCGATATCCATTTCGACCGAGCGCGCGCTCTCTTACGTAACACCCCGCGCGCGCGTGCGTTACTTAGCGCCGAGTGCTGACCAATCAGCGCGCTGCTCGCCGCGTCTAAGCCACGCCCCTGACGGGAGCTGTCATTGCTAGCAGCAGCGCGCGTTCGCTGGGCATGTGTGTGCAGCCGAGGTTACGTCAGCAATGCCTAGCTGCCTGCCTGCGTGCGTACGTACGTGCGTGTGTGTGTGTGTGTGTACGTGTGTGTGTTGCGTGTGTGTGTGTGTGTATAGGTGCGTGTTAACGCGGCTAGGCGAGCATAACGCAACCGTTGCCCATGAGCGAGCGAGCGTGTGTCCGCGCGCGGGAGTGACAGCGAGGCGAGGAATCCATATAGCACGCTAGCACGCTGGCTCGCTGCCGCCGTTGCTGCTGCTGCTGCTGCTGCCGCTGCGCCATGGATGTGTGTAGTGTATTACACTGCGTGCCGCTACTGCCACCGTTGCTGATGCTGATGCTAGAATCTACGCCACACGTGAGTATGAGTGCACGCACGCTATAGTGTTACCACTACTACCACTACTACACCGCTATCTACTGCCGTGTCTGCGTGCGTGCGTGCGTGCGTGCGTGCGTGTTTATCCTGGATAGTTGGGTGGCGTGGTGGTGTGGCGTGGAGCGTGAGAAAGGATACCGCGGGAGACGTGTGTACGAGAGATGTCAACGACATTGTGATCATCGCCATCGTCAGTGTCATCGTCGTCGTCGCCGCCGCCACCGCCGCTGTTGTCATCATCGTCATCATGTTGCTGTTATTATCGTCGTCGTCGTCGTTGTCATCGTCTTCATCGTCGTCGTCGTCGTTGTCATCGTCTTCATCGCCGTCGTCGTCGTTGTCATCGTCTTCATCGCCGTCGTCGTCGTTGTCATCGTCTTCATTGCCGTCGTCGTCGTTGTCATCGTCTTCATCGTCGTCGTCGTCGTTGTCATCGTCTTCATCGTCGTCGTCGTCGTTGTCATCGTCTTCATCGCCGTCGTCGTCGTTGTCATCGTCTTCATCGTCGCCGCTGTTGTTGTTGTTTTCTTTGTTGTTGTTGCGGATTCTGCTGTTATTGTTTTTGTTTTAACGACGAGGCAAGTTTTTCGCACTATTTCTCTCTTACGTATTATGTACTCTTGATGTATATGCACGTATGTGCGTGTTTTTGTGTGTGTGTGTGTGTGTGTGTGTGTGTGTGTGTGTGTGTGTGTGTGTGTGTGTGTGTGTGTGTGTGTGTCGT